AACTGTATCAGTAACAATGGAAAAATTAAAAATTCCCAAAAATTAAAAGAAAATAAAACAAATGTTAAATCTCAAAAGATTACAAAACTTGAAGTTTGTAGATATTAAAAAAATTTCGATGTTTCCAAATGTTTGAAATATTCAAAAGGTTTTAGTTCTAAAGACTCAACACATTCTAAAAATCTTAAAGTTTTCATACACTAGAATTTGCGAATTGTAGAGACACCAAAGTTGCTAAATAAACTAAAGTTTTAGGTTCTAAATAGAACAAAAATCCAACAAAATCTTAAAAATTGTAAAGATCTTGAAAGTATTAATGTTCCTAGAAATTGTAAAATTTCTAAACTTTATTAAATTTCTGGTAATTCTGAAGTATCGAAGTTTCCAGATATTGTTAAGACTCAAAGGACTCTGAAAACTATAAAGATTCTAAATACTCTAAGGGCTCAAATGTTTCAAAGATTCTATAAATGATAAAAAACGCATGAACTTTTAACATGACAAAAATTTTAAAGATTCCAACGACTCTAAACAAAACAAAAATCCTAAAATTATAAAAATCGTAAAAATCTGAAGAACGCTTCCTTTAATGTTTTATAAATCCTACAAGTATTAGGGGTTTTGAACACCTAATAATTATTATCTTATACGTCTTTAAAGATTCCAGAAATTCCAAAATTTTCAAATATTTAAACACTTTTGGGATCTATTAATTTTAGAAAATCTGGAAATATCTAGAAAGTGTGAAAAACCTGAAAGACCTAGAAATCTTGAACATTGATCAAAATGTTGAATTCTGGCATATCCGAAGATGTTAGAAAATCTGGAACTTCTGGAAATTTCAAAAACTTACTCAATTCTAGAAATTCTAAATACTTTACTGAATTTGTTAAAATATTCCAAATACTGTGGAAGTTCAAAGTCTTCTCTAAATTTCAAAGATTTCGAGGATTCCAAGGGTGCCTACTAATGACGTTATAAAAATAAAGTATATGGAAAAACTGTCTATAAAGATGAAAAAAAAAGAATTCTCAAAGATAAATTTGATAATAATTTTTCGGAGTTGTATTTGTTCGACTGTACTATGGGGCTACGGAAGTTCTGTCAAAATAACTTTAAACCAATTTTTGTGTCACGTGCTCCAAAACAGCGCAGAATCTTATCATTTGTTTAAAATACAAGTTTTTGCTTTTAGAATAATTTTAACAAACAAATTTTGCCAGTGTTTACACCATATCGTTAAATTCATTATGGTAGGATTCATTTCGAAGGCTGTATCTGGTACTTTTGCCCCGATGGAATGAGGAGTAAAAAATTTTTTAGAGCGTGTGTATCTAGAATCGAACTGTTTTATTGCTAAGAGTGTGTCAAAAACTTACTCAACATTTTGCTAGTGCTTTTCCAGGTTATTAAATTCTCTTGCAGGTTTATCAAATATATCGGGTGTTTTGTCCTTCGACATTTGTTACTGCGTTATCAGTTGACTCGAATTTTAAAGTTATTGTATGCAAGAGCACGTTGTCTAGTAGTGAGACCAACTAACCTTGATCCTGTTCTGAACTAATAAGTCTCCTAACAAATTTAATAATGCATCTAAAAAATGACACTAAATTATAACTTATAATGTTGTGTTGAAAAACAGAGGACGAGTTTTTATCAATAGAAGATCAAAGATCAAAAGGTTAATGGAAATTTTGCATGACAGCTTGCCAAAAATTGATATGGATTCGATATCTCGCAAAACAGATTACAAAGTAAATTCAAGTCACATTCGATAATAAATTATTATTGTTCCTTAATTATTTAAACATTTTTCGCTGTAATAGTAAGGTATCCGTTCACATTTATTTAATTGATTGACATTGATCAATCAGTTATAGTTAGAGATTCAGGTTTAAAAGTCCTGAAACCTCCAAATTCTTTTGGGTCTAATGGTATTCCAAAGATTCTCTTGAAAATAGTATATTGTTGTATTAGGATTAAAAGTGATACAAAATTTTGCGAGTCAAAAACCCACTTTTAACCCGAATGACATTATGCTATATTAATGTAATACAAAAATAGGAAATAATTAAATTTAAAAAATTGTAATGAAAATGGAATCAGTATTATCCATTCCCGATCTTTATAGAGTAAAGTAGGCTTTGATATATTTTTTTTAAGTTGGATAAACTGATTTGATGATTTAGTTTTTTTGTCTCTCAGTAGTCTGATTAACATTTGTTTTGAGCTGGATTGCCACTTTTCTACTTCATTTATTAGATCAGAATTATTACACGCAATTTTTTAATCATGCAAACAAATGTTTTAATTTTGTGAGTATAGATAATTTGTCATTGTGACAGATTCACAGATCACTGCGACATTATTTAAAAAGAAAATGCCTAAAATAGTTTTACTGCAACAAAAAATTGCAATAAAAAGATGTGTTTTGCAGTTTCGAAAAGGCAGGCCCGATCTTTCTTTCGATATATAGTCTTTGCCATTTCTATTGAAACACCACTTGTTAATAGTAAATTTGGCAACGTTCATATTCAGACAATTTTCTAACTAAAAGCCGTTGTCAATCAACCGAAAGCTGTCACCAATTGCTAAATTTTAAGCAAAATCAACAGGTGGTGTTTCAATAGAAATGGCAAAGACAATATGAGGGTCTCGAACATATTTCCTGTTATGTAAAAATACGCTGTAAAATTTTTTTATTTTTTTTTCTCATAGGTGGTAACATCAACTGTGGCGAAAATTTTATCAATAGGGGACCAAAATTTAAAAACATCACTATCTGGCAACGACAAATTTGGCAACTTAATGAAAAAAACGAATATTTCACTGTAGATACTCTTTTGGCATATTCAAGGAAACAGTTGGAATTTAAAGGGGGGCGAACCACATTATACAAAATTCTTAAGTCAATGGGTTATAAACACATGGAAGTAAATGGTCGCAAAATTCTATGTGAACAAAAGCATGTCGTTGCAGCCAAAGTTACTTTTTTGAGAACATATTTACAGTTTCTAAATTCTTGTGAAAATTTGACTTTCGTGTATTTGGATGAAACATGGATCTATCAAAATGGTTCGTCCATTCGTCGCTGGGTGCACGATACTGATCTAAAAAGCAATCCCACCAAAATTAACAGTGAAGGATCAAGGTTTACTATTCTCCACGCGGGTTGTTCAACGGGGTTCTTGGATGGTTGTAACAATTTTTTAAATTCAAAAAATAACGATAGAGACTATCATAAAACGATGGACGAGACAATTTTTCAAAATTGGGTGGTTAATCAGCTCATTCCTGCTTTGGCAAAGTTGAACCAAAAATGTGTGGTGGTTTTAGACAATGCACCGTATCATTCGGTTCATTTGGATAAACCACCTACTTTTTCTAGTAAAAAATGTCAAATGCAGGAATGGCTCTTTAAACATAGTGTTGAATTTGACAAAAAATGTTCGAAGAAACAGTTGTGGGATTTAATTAAACCCTTCAGAAACAATAGAAAAAAAGATATAAAGTCCATAAAATCAAAAATTGTTGGAATTTTAGAAATTTCTGAGTCTCTGTAATCTTCCGAGTCTAAAGGACTCCCTATGTCTGGTTTTTGAAGTAGTTTAAAAAAATCTCGGAGACTCTTCAGCCTGGTTTTTTGAAATAATTTGAAAGAATCACGAAGACCACGTGTGCCTGGTTTTTGAAGTAGTTTCAAAGAGTCTCGGGGTTTCCTTTTGTTTTGGTTTTGAAGAAGCTTGAAAGAATCTCGGGGACAATTTTTGTCGGGTTTTTGAAGTAGTTTGAAAGAATCTCGGGGATCTATTGTATCTGATTTTTGAAGTAGTTTGAAAGAATCTGGGGGACACATTGTGTCTGGGTTTTGACGTAGTTTGAAAGAATCTCAGGGACTCCTCGTGTGTAGTTTTTTAAGTAGTTTAAAACAATCTAGGAGACTATTTATGCCTGGTTTTTTGGAATAATTTGAAAGAATCTCAGATATCACTTGTGCCTGGTTTTTGAAGTAGTTTCAAAGAATCTCGGTGAGTCCTTTTATTTGGATATTGAAGTAGTTTGAAAGAATCTCGGGGTTTTCTTTTGTTTTGATTCTGGGGAAGTTTGAAAGAATCTCGGGGTCTAATTTTATTTTAATTTTGAAGAAATTTGAAAAAACATCTGGGTCTCCTTTTGTTTTGATTTTGAAGAAGTTTGAAAGAATTTCGGAGTCCCCTTTTGTTTTGATTTTGAAGTAGTTTGAAAGAATCTCGTGGATCTCTTGTATCTGATTTTTGAAGCAGTTTGAAAGAATCTCGGGGACACTTTGTGTCGGGTTTTTGAAGTAGTACGAAAGAATGTAGGGGAAATCTTTTGATTGTTTTTGAAGTACTTTGAAAGACTCGCGGGGACTTTTGAGTCTTGGTTTAAAAGTAGTTTAAAAGAATTGACTAGAATATTTAAATTTTTAGAATCGTGATATCAATGAAACATTCAAAATTTGAGAAATTTTTTAACCTTTAATTTAATAAAACATAACCTAACAAAAGAAGTTCAGGGAATTTTTATTCTTCTGCATCGACTACCAACAAACTCACTAGATTTTCATGGCCAACCCTACTATATAAAGACCGTGAACGGATAATATAACATGTATGAGAAATGATAACAGAATTTTGCCGGTATTTATTTCCGAAACGATGATGTAATAAAATAAAAGACTAACCCACTTGGTAACACTTTTATTTTCCTTATTTTCCAAAACGGGTCTTATCTTACCTTATGAATGAGGTTAACGTAGTAGCTGGGGACCTTGGGAGAGGTTAATTCACGAATTACTTATTAAAGAGTTTATATCTCTTTGAGTCACACTGTTCCCAAAAATATTAGGATATTGTCAAGGTCGAAGATCAAGGTTGGATGGCAGGTTTGTTGATAAAAATAAATCACACAATGATTTAGTTCTAAAATTTTAACAGAAAAAAGTTAAACAAAAATAAAAACATAGAACTAAATTAAAATCAATCGATATCAAGTTTTTTAAAACTACTATAAACCCCTAAAGTGTCGTTATCTTCCAGTTTCGCCGGCCTCAAATTTTCGTCAACTTTAATTTCGTCCAAACGATCAAACAATTTCTGGTTTTTCGTACACCGTGCTTCTAGGTCATCTAAAATTTCCACTATTGGCTTTTTCAGACTTATTTTCCAAATCAAATTACCTTCCAGTTCTTGTAAGGATAATCCCTCCCCTCCAAAATCGACAGGAAGCAAATTCAGAGGAATTAGTTGCTTCAAGACCTCTTCGTCTGAGTGAATATAAATCTTCAACGAAAATTTAAATTAGTCTCGACGAACCATCATTTTCAGAAAGTACATTTACCCTTGCGGCAAGTTTTGGTTTCAGGAAAGATTTGACTAAATTTACCGCTGTTTTCAAAACTGGTGGCAAATTTATAACGTGTACGACTTTAATAAGTATGGAGAAAACTTGCTAAAAATTTTAAAATCTAATATTGTATTTGGACCTAAATTCCGGTTTGTGTTACTTGATAGAGTAAAACTATGGTCTTATAAATGAGCACCGGTGTAAGTTTAACGGCGATATTCAACGTGTGTCCTTTACAGTCCAAAACTAGAATATCCCCATGCATGACGTCGTATCTCAGTTTTAGCTCCTGCATAACCAGATATTTCCTCATAGTATATACAGGTTCGTATTTGTCTGGGATGATTTCTCCTTTTGCTTTGAAGTAAGTGATTTTGCACATTTCGTCGGTTAATTGGGGGTAATCCACGAAGTATCTAAAATTGGAAAAACATTTTTTCGTTAATAAAATCTTATTGTTTGTTTTTACATCATATCTTTAAATTCCTTGAAGTAGGGACGTTTTGGATTCATTTCGAACGCGATCTCTGGTACTCTGGACCTAACGGAATAATAGTTGTCGATTTTTTGTTTCGTTATCTCAAAACTGCATTTATTGAGGAATAAAAAATTTTTTAGCGCTTGTGCATCTAGAATCGAACGGTGTTTTATTGGTAAAAGTGTATTAAAAACATACCCAACATTTTTGGAAGTTGCGGTTGTGTTTGTAGCCATTTTTTAAGACGAATCGTATCTTCATCTAGTGCCTTTCCAGTACTATTAAATTGTTTTGCAGCTTTATCAAACAAGCCGTCGACTTTGTTGTCCCGCATTTTTTCTGATTACGCACTAAAGTTTGGTAAATAAAGTTACTAACCTTGACAGTGTCGTGAATTAGCACATTGTTCAAAGTAATGTGCGTAATAATGCATCTACGTAACACATTAAACGACACTAAAAAAGACAACATAAATTTGGAATCACCATAATTTTAAAGATCAGAAGGTTAAATTGTTATCAGATTTGGTATGATAGTACACATAAAATTATTAAAAGTTTGGTAACTCACAACATGCGTGTTAACAACATTCAACCGACTGACACAATGTTACAGTTCTTGTGTCTCAATTATAATTACATATCTAAAAAAAATTAATGCGTAAAGTTAGAATTAAGAATTATAATAATAACATTCAGAATATTTTGTTCAATTTACACTTATGAATAATTTTAATCATCTGTTGTGAGGCGATAAACTCATTCCAATCAAAACAATTGTCTACGGGACATTCTTCCGACCTATAAACATCAACCTTTTAAACACTACGCACATTGCTCAGATAACACTATTCCCGTTGATAATGTGCTCTAAATATATGTTACAATGCAAAATTGGCCACTTGCGGGCGTTCCTCTAATTTATGACTTGCAGCTACGCAGACACCAGCACAAAGATCTGCCACCTGAGTTTTGTTCATTGTATCGTTTCTCCTTCTTATTTTGTTTTTTTTATCGTTAAAGTATACCTCACACTTTTCAAACTATTGCATTTGCATTCATACTTTTTCAATTTGCTTATACAGGCCGATGCAAAAAGAAATTAATGACGCAAAATTTATTTACAAAACAAATTTTACTAAATAATTTAACTTTTTTTAACTAGGTGTTCGAACACTGCCGCAAAAAGTTCAAAGCATCAGTTTCGACAAATAAAATACAAACAAATTTAATATTATGTGATTTTAATAATTATTTCTCTCAAACTTGTTCCTCGTGTATTTAAATTCAAAACAAGTTTACCTATAGTTTAAGAATAATTTTAATATTGACTACTTTTTGCTCATAGAGTTCGTTTACACCACATCGTGAGATTCCTTGAGCTAAGGACGTTTGCGATTCATTTTTTAGAGCGTGTGCTTCTGGAACTAAAAGGTGTTTTAATGCTAAGAGTGTGTTAAAAACAAACCTAACATTTTTGGAAAATTAACTTATAAAACAATTAAATTCACAAAATCAAATAATTTTCGAAAAAGTGTACTTGTACTTGAAATGACTTTCGACCAATTTTTTTAATACCATTTGGCTGACTCGCTAACATCGCAAAATCTATTTACAATACAAATTTTACTGATTTGATGTTCGAAAACTGTGTCAAAAAGTGCTAAATACCAATTTCGACGAAAGCAATACAAAAAAAAATAATAATATTATGTAATTTTAATACTTTGAAACTTGTTCCTCGCGTTAAAAAACGCGAAACTTTATTAAAAAAAGAACATTAAAAACAACATTAAAAAATTCAAAACAAGTTTTTCTATAGTTTAAGAATAATTTTAACATTGATTTTTTGCGTTAGCTTTCTCATCGCTATCTCCACAGAGTTCGTTTACACCACTTCGCTAAATTCCTTGAAAGAAGGACGTTTTCGACTCATTTTTAAAGCCTACTTGATAAGTTTTTTTTTTTTAATCATATGATATTTGAAAAGACGAAAATTAAGATCCTAACAAACTGATTTTTAAATTTATTAAATTTAAATTAAATTATAGCGTCAATTTATTAATCAATCTCGCTGTGAATTTAAGAACGGTCACATGGAAAGTCCCTTCTAACCTAACATTTCTTCTTTTCTGTGGTTTAGTCACGGACATACTAAGTCCTTTTCAAGGATGACTCGATTATAAATTATTTATATTGCTCACAAGAAAAGTAAACTGTATTAACCGTCAAATGCAGAAAACACAAACATGGTTAAATGGGAAAATACGAGTATCTAATGAAAATTTAAAGCTTATCATTGTTTCGTTTTTATAAATTAGGAAATTTAGAGGACTATCTATCTTTAGGGATTTAAGATCTCAGTACAAAGATGTCAGTAATAGACTTTATAATTTTTATATTAATAATGCTAACAAGATTAATCATAAGAGAAAAATTGATAGGAGTGTTCAAGGTGATCCTGAAATTTGTGACATTTTTGCCAGATTCTTTTCGTCAGTTTTTGTGACCTCTTTTTTGTGACGACATTGATCATTCATTTATGGTTAATAATTCAGGTTTAAAAGTTAGCGTCTTTGATTTCTTTGAATGTATTTCTCGTTTGAACCCTTCAAATATTTTGGACCTGATGGTGTCCCAAATATTTTTTTGAAGCAGTGTACTTTCCCTACTTTCGGAAAAGTCGTTATCTCACACCAATTTTGATAATTGGTGTGAGATAACTAAGCTAGAGAAGCCAGCAATTTAAAAATTCTAAAAGGATTTCAGGGATTTCAAAAACTCCAAAGATTCCACACGTTCCAAATATTTAAAAATTGGTAAGTTGATAAAAATTCTAAAGTTCCAAAAATATTTAAAATTCTAGAGATACCGAAATATCTAAAAATAATGCAAATCTGAAAGCTCTAAAGATTATAGAAATTCTGGTGATTCTAGTTTCTAGAGATTCTAAAGATTCTAAAGTTTCCAGTGGTTTGAAAGATTCAAAAATGATAAAAGCTTTCACGGATTACATACACTAGAAATTGCGAATTGTAATGACACTTAAGACTCTAAATAAACTAAAGTTCTAATGTTCTAAATATAAAAAAATCCAACAAAATCTTAAAAATTTTAAAGGACCTGGGTAATTAATGATTCTAGAAATTGCAGAAATATTAGGCTTTATAAAACTCCTAGTAATTCCCAAAGTGTTCCAAATTTCCATAGATTAGAAGGCTCTAAAGAGTCTAAAGACTCTAAGGACTCTAAGGGGTCAAAAACCAATACTTGAAAGATTCTAAAGGTTTTAAAGAAATTCCAAAAAGCCGAAGATTCTGAAATTTGTAAAAATCGGGTGAACTCTTAAAATGCCAAAGATTTTAAAAATTCCAAAGAAAACAAAAATCTGAAAGACCTGAAAATCGTAAAGAACGGAAAAATGCTTTCTTTAATTTTTATAATTCCTAAAAGCACTGAAAGCCTTGAACACCCTGATTATTATATTATAAATCTTGGCGTAATAAGATTCCAGAGATTCACAATATTCCAAAGATTTAGACTCTTGAGATCCATAAATTTTAGAAATTCTGAAAAAATTTGGAAAGTGTGGGAAAAATGTGGCAGAGGTAGAAATCTTGAAAATATTGGAAAAGGTTGAATTTAAAATTTCTGGTATAACTGGAGCCTGATAATTTTAGAAATTTTGCAAAATGTGGAAATTCGGGTCATTGTGTGTACTTCCGGAAATCTGAAAAATTGGGCTAATTTGGAAAATCTGAACATTCTGGAAATTTTGAAAATTTTGCAAATTACGAAAATTCCCTAAAATTAAAAGAAAATAAAAAAATATTAAGTCTCTAAATTTCAAAAGTTTACAAAACATTGAGTTTGTAGATATTGAAAAAATTTCAGTTTGAAATTTTAAAAGGTTTCAGACCTTCCAAAAATTCTGAAGACTCAACACATTCTAAAAATCTTTCGGTTTTCATACACTAGAATTTGCGAATTGTAATGACTCCAAAGATGCTAAATAAACTAAAGTTTTAGGTTCTAAATAGAAGAAACATCCAACAAAATCTTAACAATCGTAAAGATCTTGGAAGTATTAATGTTCCTAGAAATTGTAAAAATTCTAAACTTTATAAAATTTCTAGTAATATAAAGTATCGAAATTTCCAGATATTGTTAAGGCTCTAAGGACTCTGAAAACTCTAAAGATTCTAAATACTTACTCTAAACGACTCAAACGTTAAAAAGGTTTTAAAATGCTGTTCCAAATATTTCAAAGATTCTATAATTGGTAAAAAGCGCATGAACTTTTCACATGACAAAAATTTTAAAGATTCCAACGACTCTAAACAAAACAAAAATCCTAAAAATCTAAAAATCGTAAAAATCTGAAGAACGCTTCCTTTAATTTTTTATAAATCCTACAAGTTAGGGATTTTGAACACACTAATTATTGTCTTATACATCTCTAAAGATTCCAGAGATTCCAAAAATTTCAAATATTTAAACACTCTTGGGGTCTATTAATTTTAGAAAATCTGAAAATATCTAGAAAGGGTGAAAATCTGGAAAGCTCGAAAACTGAGGAAAATGTTGAATTCTGGAATATCCGAAGATTGATAATTTTATAACATTAGAAAATCTGGAAATTTAAAAAACCTACTCAATTATAGGAATTCTAAACATTTTACTGAATTTGTGAAAATATTGCAAATATTGTGGAAGTTCAAAGTCTTCTCTAAATTTCAAAGATTTCGATGATTCCGAGGGTGCCAAAACTCTAAGGAGTCTACTAAACTGATATATGTGCCCTTGCTAAAATGTTAATGATGTTATAAAAATAAAATATATGAAAAAATTTACTATAATGATGAAGCTATTGTATGCAAGAGCACGCTGTCTAGTAGTGAAACCTATATACTACACTAGAAGATCAAAGATCAAAAGGTTAATGGAAATTTTGCATGACAGCTTGCCAAAAATTGATATGGATTTAGTATCTCGCAAAATAGATTACAAGGTAAATTCATGTCACATTCGAAGTTCATAAAATCAAAAATTGTTGGAATTTTAGAAATTTCAGAGTCTCTGTAATCTTCAGAGTCTGAGGGACTCCTTGTGTCTGGTTTTTGACGTAGTTTGAAAGAATCTCAGGGACTCCTCGTGTTTGGTTTTTGAAGTAGTTTAAAAGAATCTGAGAGACTATTTATGCCTGATTTTTTGGAATAATTTGAAAGAATCTCAGAGACCACTTGTGCCTGGTTTTTGAAGGAGTTTCAAAGAATCTCGGCGAGTGTTGTTATTTTGATATTGAAGTAGTTTGAAAGAATCTCCGGGTTTCCTTTTGTTTTGATTCTGGGGAACTTTGAAAGAATCTCGTTGGTCCGTTTTGTTTTAATTTTGAAGAAGTTTCAAAAAATCTCGAGGTCCCCTTTTGTTTTGATTTTGAACTAGTTTGAAAGAACTTCGGGGTCTCCTTTTGTTTTGATTTTGAAGAAGTTTGAAAGAATCTCGCGGGCAATTTGTGTCGGGTTTATGAACTCGTTTGAAAGAATCTGGGGGATCTCTTGTATCTGATTTTTGAAGTAGTTTGAAGTAA